GTTCCTGCTCTTTGTTCAGGTCTAAGACTAGGACCCCAGGTGTGCATGCAGCTAGCTCTTCTGCAAAATTATCCTCATCTGCATGAGATAAAGAAAGACATTCAAATAACACCTGAAAACAAAAGGCTGTCATCTCTTTACTAAGCACCATGCTCAATGCATGATTAAATGCAGCTGTTTCATTTAACTCCTCCCATTATCAATATCTTAGAAAGCACAGAAGCAAGATTCATGATAACATAAGAATTTGTCCCCAAATCACACAACTACATAGTGGCAGTTTAGGGGAAAGTGGGTTACTCATTGCTTCCAAATTTGCTAATTCTTCTTGTTGTTTGTTCAGGAAGGAGACAATGGGGGAAACCACTCACAACTTTCCACATGTTCCAGTATCCAGGGCCGAGAAACCACCACCTCATATCATCTCAGAGTCTCGATATGTACATATTCCAAGGGTTCTGCCCAAGTAGTTTGGATAGTTCTGAAATGGTGCTGATTTCACTGATCTGAGGATGATGTCACCTCCCAATGTCCATTGGCTCTACTCATCGAGATTTTTTGCTGTCATCATTTGTTTGAGGTAGTTACCCAGTTAGTTCTGTTCTTCTTCTGCTACAGCACCAAAAGAGCTGCCAAATTTCCCATTTTACAACATGTCCTGTGTCCACTGCTCCACTTTTTTCACTAAGTAGAACATGTTCTTGCAGGCGAGTCCAAGAACCCAGGCCAGGTGACCCAAGCCCTGCTGGATAACCCACCCCTGGGGCTCATGAACCTGGCAACCCCTGAACAGGTGGGTCCCAGGCCAGGCCACCCAAGTCTCGCTGGATCCCCCATCTCGGGGCTAAGGAATCTGGCTCAGTTCACACCTTTACTTTTGCATGAATTACCTCAAACTAGAAGAGCAACTTGATCTGAACCAGTGAAGTACACAGAGAAGTTTGCTGGGGCTTTTCAGGGAAGTGCTTCTTCAGCCTTAGGAGCAATTTCAGGAGCAAAACCTCTCTACAGCCTGGACACTGATGAGAAATCACAACGCAGGCCCAGGGGTTGCTGGCTCGTATCCTTGGACCCCAATGCAATGACTCTGGGCATGGCTGAGTAGGACACATGCATTCTTGAGAATCACTTTGCCCCACCAGTGTCTCACAGGCTTTCTTGTCTTTTAAAGACTCAGCTACTACTGTTTCTCTCTTTCTCTCTAAACTATCAGTCTCTCTACTCTACATGCTTCAAGCACACACAGGATTCTTTCACATTAGAACTTCCTTGGTTATATGTTTTCTTCCAGCTATGGCCCTTTTTCTCTTCTATCAAAACTTTCTGTCTGTATTTTCTTACCTTTCATCCATGCCAACTATTCCATACTTGTCATCCTTACTGCTACAGGATCACTTCCATCCGAGTCACCACTGATCTCCATCCTGCCAATGCTAATAGATGTGTCTTTGTTTTCATTTCCCTTGATCTTCTGGCAGGATAATTCCTTGGACAACTTCCTTCTATTCAGAACACTTTCCTGTCTGGATTCCATGACTCCATATCCACTTGTTCTGTCCCTTACCACACTGGCTGCTGCTTCTCCTCCTCCACATTGACTTCTCGTTTCCTACTGAACTGCTAAACATGAGATTACACACAGCTCAGTCTTCTGCCTTATGCCTCTAGTGTTCTCTGTTTATCTCTTTCTATCCATTCAACACTCAATTGGGTCATACTTAATGAATGTCTACTATAAACCAGACACTATTCTAGACATGGAACAATGGCAGGGAGCAAATGAACATGTCCCCACCCTTGTTTTCTCAAAGATTTATTTTTATTGTAAAGGCAGATCTACAGAGAGAAGAAGAGACAGAGAGAAAGGTCTTCCATCTGTTGGCTTACTACCCAAGTAGCCACAATGGCTGGAGCTGAGCCAATCCAAACCCAGGAGCTAGGAGCTTCTTTCCAGATCTCCGGTGTGGCTGCAGGGTTCCAAGGCTCTGGGCCACCCTCGACTGTTTTCCCAGGCCAAAAGCAGAGAGCTGGATGGGAACTGGAGCAGCTAGGACATCAATCGGCACTTATATGGGATTCCAGTGTGTTAAAGGCAAGAATTTAGCCACTGAGCCCATGTCCCACCTTTATAAAGAATTTAGCACTAGGTCCATGTCCCACCTTTATAAAGAATGAATTATCACAGTATAGAAAATGAGCAAACAACAACTGAAAAGTTTGCATAACATGATACTAGGGAGGAAAACAAAGAAGTATAAATGGATATTGGTGATATGCAGTTTTTGGACAAGGAAATGTCCTCTAAGTCTGTGAAGTTTACCCCTGAGTCCAGTGGAATGGGAGAGGGAGAAGCCAAGGATGACCAAGGTTAACAGAAAGAATGATGATTGCATGTGTTATAGCAAGGCACCTAGGGAAACAGAAACAGGAGAGAGCACCAAAACCTCCAATTAGACTGTGAAGGCACTACATGTATTCGTGGAGCAATCATTTCCTCTAGTGAATGATTTCTCCTTCAGATCTCAGACAGCCCTTCCCTGCCCAACTCTGTGTCAAAGAACATTTCACTTCCACACTTCCAGTCCATGCAGTCTCAGTCAACAGTCCTAGTTTGTTGTCTTCATGGTAGTCACCAAATTAGCAATGAAGAGGGTTGCTACTTGGCTGCTAATTTTGCCTATACTGTGGCATCTGCTGGCCTTAGCACTGTGGCTGATTGACAAGGACTGGGTGAGCAAAGCTGAGGTCGGAACTCAGGGGAGTCAACACAATTTTGTTCTTCTCCAAGTATAGTGACACACACTGGCCAGGTGGCTTTGGGCAAGTCACCTCTGCAGTGGTTTCTTGATTGAAATATAGTTTGATTTTATTATTTCTAGGGGGTAATGTGGCCATTCTTAAAAGATTTGTTTATTTTTGTTGCAAAAGCAGATTTTAGAGAAAAGAGACAAAGATCTTCCACCTGCTGGTTCATTCTCTAAATGACCGCAACAGCACTTGCTGAGCTAATCCAGAGTGAAGAGCCAGGAGTCAAAAGCTTCCTCTGGGTCTCCCACATGGGTACAGATCCCAAAGCTTTGGGCCATCCTTTGCTGCTTTTCCAAGTTATAACCAGAGAACTGGATGGGAAGCAGAGCAGTTGGGACATGAACCAGCACCCATATGATATCCCAAGGGTTGGAGGATAAGTCAGTTGAACCATTGCACCAGACCCCATTTTGTATTTTAAAATCTGGGATTTTTACTTAATCTGGCCAGAAACTAATTTTAGAAACAATGGTACTAAAGTGTTTTCTGTTACAGAATGAGTGCAAATGTTTGCCCTTGGGGAAACTGACTCTAGGAACCCTGGAGGGTAGTATATTCCCATTGCTGCCCTACCCCCACACCCAACTCCTCAGTCTGTAACAGATAATAAATCCGCCAGGCTCCACTCCAGAACCGGTTACACCTGGGAAGCAAAGTACATTCATGTATTTCCTGGAACATTTAAGCACAAACTCAGCTGTACAGCTCCAGCCTTTTCACATATGACATCATATTTCATATGCATTCCAGGGCATTTCTTCACTGCACTGAGGCAGATATTGATATGGGCTGGGTAGGTAGCTAGTTTAGGGTTACTGAATTTGGAAGCCACACCTCCCCTGCAGATAATCCTATCTGCCCAGCTGTCAGTCAAACAACTCCCTCCCAAGGAATATATCCCCTTACCTGAAACCTGAGGTGGGTGGTGCCATGAAGCCACACCGTTTCAACCCCCTCAAGAACTGGTGCCAAGGAAGGGTTCACCCTCTTTCTGAGGATACAAACAACATAAATAGAAACTTCTCTCCTGCTTTTCCCTTCCGGAACAACCCTATCCCTGAATGGTGCCCACGTGTCTATAAATTCTTTATCTTCTAAATAAACCTATTACTTTGTAAACTGCACTGGTGGCTGCAGTTAAAATGCTTTTAAAGTAAAAGGCAAGAACCTAGCAAATAAATACTAGGCCGAAATCTGGACTACAACAATATGGCCCCCACTTCGCCAACAGAAAAAAATGAGGCTCAAGGAGATGATCTGAAGTGTGCTGGTTCAAACTGGCAGCAAGCAGCAGAATAAAGATTAGACTTTGTGTCTCATTCTGTTGTGCTTTCCATTACAACATTAGATTCCTAGCATCAAAGGCAAGTCCCTTGGGCATAATCCATTTCCACTTGTGTAATCAACAAATGAAGATGGGATGGGCATCTGGCAAAGCCATTAAGTCACCTGAGATGCCTGCATCCCAAATCAGAGTATGTAGGGTCCAATTCTGGTTCCAGCTTCCTGCCAATGCACAACCTGGGAGGTAGCATGCAACTGCCTAAGCAATTGGGTCCCTGTCACCCACAGGGAATATCCATGTGAATGAAAACGCCACTAAAACCCCAACCTGCTTAGAAAGGCAGGAAAGATTCCCCAGGGATCCTGCTGGAGAAGGAAGCTGGAGACACCAGGAACGTCTCTAGGGTCCCTAAGTGACCATCTGCTGAAGACACTTTACTTTGCTGTCCCCTTTTCAGCCAATTTTATGGAGAAATAACTTCCAAAAGAATTATTTTTCAATGAGAAAGAATTGTTTTCCCATCCAAGTATCCTCATAATAGAAGGTGTCTCACTCTGATGAGAACTATGTGTGTACTCGAAAGGGGTGTTAGCTATGCCAGGTAGGTATGTGAAGCTGTGCACATAAAGCTTGGCATTGGGTGTGATTCTAAACGAATAACTTTCCCTCCACTTAAAAATCACTTAGCACTGATATGGGGTTACTTTTCTGCTTTCAGTGCCAGGCCAACTCTTATCTCTTACAGATATAAAAAGGTCTCGCCTTCACTATTAATAAACAACATGAAAAGTGAACATCAGATAACAAAAACACCAAAGTAGAAAAGCGAATAAATAATATTTATTTTGTACAAAGTGGCTGTCAGTGTCCAAGTGTCTGAGAATTCTCCGTGGGGCTCAGAGAGTCCTCAGAGGAGCAGCAAGGAGCCCAGCAGCAGCTCACCCTGGCCCAGCCTGCGGCCCCGCTCCAGCCCGCGGCCTTTGTTCTCAGCCTTGATGCGCACGGCCAGGCGGCGCACCTGCTCCTCCGTGAGGCCATCGAAGCAGAAGTCCTGGTCCAGGCCGGCCTTGCGACTCTGGCCAAGCACGGCCCTGCGCTGTTTGCGTGTGGAGTCCGGAGAATGCAGGACCAGGCTGATGCGGCAGTTGATGGTGCGGGGCTCAGAGATGCCCCCGGCCTGGCCCTCTGCTGGGAGCAGCCGGATGCGGAGGTGCCCACTGCCTGGACTGTACTTAGCGGCCAGGCGCAGGGCGCAGCCAGCGCGTCCCAGAGTCACGGTACCCTCAGCCTCCAGGCACTGGGGCTGTGAGCCTGGGAGTGGTGATACAGATGCTAGGGCCGGAACTGGGGGTCCAGCATCAGGGTCGCGTTCCTCATCTTCATCCCCACTGGAAACGGAGCGGGCGCGGGCTGGGCCAGGGTTCTTCCGGGCCCGCAGCGCTCGGCTCAGCAGTCCTTCGGGGGCGCCGAGGAAGCGGCGGCCACAGAGCCTTGGTGGAAGGGCATCTCGGGGCGGGCGGCAGCCGTCGGGAAAGGAGGCAAGGGCCGCGCTGGAGACTCGGGGGGTGCGGAGGGGCACCACAGTGGCGTCCTCTACACCTTCTCCTCCTCCTAAGCCGCTATCATCACCGCTGTAGGTGTGAGCCCGGGGGCGAACAGCAGCGGTGCGATGTCTCCCAAGGAAAAGCGACTCTTTGCGGCGGATGTGCGGGCTCTCGAGCAGTGCACAGAAGCCATAGGCGGTGCGGGCGCGGGGCAGATGCAGCAAGGAAAGCGCAGCCTGCGAGCGTGGGTCCCAGTCCGTATGGCCCGCGCCCTCGTCGGCTGTGCAGGGCCACAGGTCCGGTTCGCGGGTCACGGTGACAGCTGAGGGCAGGGATTCCGGCGGGCTGTGCCCCGGGAGTCTCGGCGGGATGCAAAACTCCGGGATGCGGTCCGGGGTGAGCACGTTGGAGAAGAGGGGCTCTGGGGCGGAGGAGCGGAGTTTCCCAAGGAGCCGCATCCTAGCAGGCTAGCGCTGAGAGGAACGTTTAAGTGCTCCAGGCAGAGCTGCGGCTGATAAGGTGGTCGAAGGCTGCCAGAGTTCCTCGCCCAGCCCCTCAAGAGTATACTGAGCCTCTCGCACACCCACACAACTCACCCTGCCTTCCACTTACTGGAGTCAAAGAAACAGAGATCAGACCTCTCCTCCGTCAGTGTCTTGCTCGAAACTTTCCTGTGGCAGGCGGCAGCTCCACTACAGGCAGGACAGCCGCACGCCTTTCTTATATGTAGCCTGAGTCCCGCCCAGTCGCCCGGAGCCCAACCCCGGAACAGCCCGCCTTCCCAGACAATCTCTTCTGAGGGCGACAAGAGCCCTGCATTGGCTGCGCCTGGCCCCAGGGTCCTGCATTCGCTGGGCATGCGTGGAGTCCCAGATGCCTGTCCGGGAGAGGTTGCAGGTGGAAAGAAGTGGCCTGGTCACTCTGGGAAGAAGTGGCAACTGAAAATGCAGCCTTTCACAGGCAAAACAGCTGGGTGAGCAAGCAGGAATGAACATGAAGTTTATTCTGAATGAAGGCCCCTTCATTTCCAGGGGTCACATCCCACTAAACCCAGGTAAATTGAAAAAACTCTTAGATTATTGGGGAAACGTGTAAAGTGCCTCTTGCCACGCAGGCATCCCATAAATCCTGTGCTGGTCCCCGCTGCTTCACTTTCACTCCTGTTTCCTGCTGGGAAAAGCCGTGGAAGATGGCCCAAGTTCTTAGGCCCCTGCCATCCACTCCAGAGACCAGATGAGTCTCCTGGTTTCCCAGGCAATGAAACATCTCTCAATCTCTCACTACCTCCCTGGTAGCTCTTTCAAATAAATAAATACATATATTTTAAAATAAAGCTATGCCCAACGTGCCTTTAATACACCTAGCCTACATTCACCCTGCTCAGACTAAGGACATGAGCCAGCAGCTTGTCAAAATCATTCAGCACAAAGCCTGATTTACACTAAAGTGTTGAATATATCAGGTGATCCACCCAATAATGTACCAAAAATGAAAAACAGTGGTTGTATACATGCTTTTGCACCATAAAAGGTTTTTTTTTAAGTGTAATTCAGTCACATTTAAGTGTGAAGAGGGGTTAATGGTATCCTTCTAATAAGAGTCAATTTATTAAGCACCTGACTCCCTCTGCTGGACGTGTTTCTTGTATATACTGTGGGCTCAGTGGATGTCCTAGGTGTGGGGGCATGGGTGGATTAGGGCGTGTGAACATTTCTGAATGCCTGCAGGCTCTGCCTGACATGCTGACTGTCAAACAAGACGGGGCTACCACCTTATACCCTGAAATTAACACTTGACTTTCTCTTCTAGGAAGAAAACTTTCAGTTAGAAAACATTAACAGATAATCCAGGTTGCCTCTTTCCACCCACAAGCTTCACTTTCTGAGAAAAGTGAAACCCCAAAGGCACTCCAGGAAATTCCATAAACGTTACAAAGAGCTAATTAATGGCAAATCCTGGAACTAGCAATTTCCTGTTTCTGTGGCTCTGCCAGTGATGCTTCCTGGTATCTGCACATTCCCTTCCCGTAGGAACTTCTGCTGATTGTTCAGAACTCAGCCCACACACTAGGCCATTCAGAGAAGTTCCCCAGCACCCCTTCCCCTCCTTTTTTCCTCCTTCTCCCATTACACACTCTGCATGCCACTGCCATTATGCTTAGCATACTATTTTGAGATTTGGGCTTATGATTTTGCCTTCCTTAATGGACCATGAGTCTTCTGTGGGCAAGGCCTGGAAGCAACTAACTGAATGAGAACAATTTGGAGAACCGATTGGGAATATGGGTAAAAATAAAAGTCCTGGATCCAGAACCTGGGTCTGCCTCTCCTGGTGACAGCCTGATTGCCTCATTCATGGCTTGTTCAATTCCAACACCGGGGGTAAAATCCTAGGCAAACATCAAGGCTCAATCAATATTTGAGGAATCATATTATGTTGAGTTGAGGCTGATCTAATCCAATCCAGACCTTATGACTGTCAGGTGCTTTGAACCACTTATCTTTAGTGCATAGTTTTATTTTTCTCATATCACACCAGTGAGGCCAGCATGATTTCTGATGAGAAAGTGAGGCTCAAAAACAGATGAGATACAGGCTCAGATTAAAGATCCTGTCATTCAAGGGTTTGTTTGTTTTTTTAATTATTATTTCTTCCTTCATTTCTTGCTTACTTCTCTCCCTTTCTCCCCTGATCTCCCAGTTCCTTCCTCCCTCCATCTGTCTGTAGAGTACAGTGTAATGTGCTGAGTCTGTTGTGTACCAGAAACTGTGTGGCTTGTATAGCTCGGAAACCCAAATTATTATTCCTTAAACCATTATGTATTTTCCTATTCCACTCTTTGGAATAAACCACATGGTTTGTAAATCTTAAAGAAAAGGAGAGTGTTTTGCCTTGGTTTAGTAATATATACTGTGTCTCTTAACTCATCTCCTCCAGTACAATGGTACCCTGAAAAGTTCATGGAAAATGGAGTTTGTAGTTTAGTTTGGTGCAAAAACATTGGGATTCTTGCATGTTTTTTTTAAATTTTCCAAAAAAATTTTAAAAGCTAACGGTATATACTTTTTAATGGGGCAAGGGAGCAGTAGCTATTCTTTTTAAAGCCAGATTTTCTGGCATAGGCATGTCTGAGGTGGGGGAAAGTCTCACATGGAATCATTTCCTTGTGGTTCATCAGGTGTGCAGATTCATGGGTGAGGGGTCTTCTCTAAAGTGGGCCACAACTGCACTGAGGCCTTAGTAGATTCAGTGTATTTCAAATTAAAGCTCAGTGAGGCTGACTTTCATGCCCCCCAAGACCCTTTGTGACATGTTTAATCATTGAGTTGGCAACCCTAAAAGCATGATCTGGAATTTGAGTGAACATAATGTAACTACTCCCTGTGCATGGGTAAAACAGGTGTAACTATCAATAGGTTCTCCATCTAGAATGTTTTGCAAAACCATTAGTTTCCCAAGATCCATATTCTGTAGAAGAGGAAGGGAGATGCAGGGAAATGAAGTGTCTTGCTCCATTAGGTGCTGCAGGATCATTCACTTGAACTCATAACCACAGGCTAGATCCACAGGTGGAGGCCCAGAGTCTTTGACCACATTGTGAGAAAGTAAAAAACAATCCTTTATCAAAAATTCTGATGGCTTTTCTTGTTTTGTGAAGTCCATTATTATCTTTTATTTAAAGTTTTAAGATTGTTATTTCAAGAAGCTATTCAATGATACTATTATGTTTGCTAAATATTACATGTAATGGGTAGAAGTCATGTTCATTTTATGTATCTACCCTGACAACCTTACAAAGGCAAGGATTTGGAAACAGGATCATCAACAGAAAAAGCACATAATGAAGTCTAATGTACAGAAAAAAAAAAAACAGAGACTCAAGCCTAGATCAATCTGGTTAATGCTCTGGGTGTTTGGAATCACTTTCCTACAATTTCTCCTTTAAACACATTTTTCCTGAACCAGTCTGCTCCCTCAAAGGCTCAATCATTCCAAGGACTTAATTAGAAACGTACAGACTATATTGATTATCCTAGAAGCTAACATATTGAAGCATGAAATTCTAATAAACAAGAAATCTCTATTCATTGTAGTGCTATGCCTTTTGTAAACACAATCTTTGTTCTCCCAGGACATCTTTAAATAGCTCATGGGGAATGTGTGTCAAGATAAAACTGCACAAATGCCTATTTTTTTTGAAAAAAAAAACCATAAAGTTCCATTTTCGATGAACTTTTGGAAGTGCACTCATATTCATTTCTTTATTTACTCCATAATTAGTTCTCAAAAAAGGATTCAGGGTTATTTACATAACAAACATCCAGAGAACTTATCCTCTACTGGAGCCCAGCATAAAAATGGAAAATACAATGAACTAAGTAAAGAACTTGATTTATCTATGTCAATACTCATGATCCTGGCATAGAAAGGGCAAAGTGTAAGGCCCAGCCAGGGTGGGGGAAGGGCACCCCACAGGAGGACAGCAGATGGGAACTGAGTATGGCTGATGCAGTCAGGACAAAGGACTATAATACCCACAAGCCCCTGCCTGGCCCAGAAGTGATGTATGGACCTGACCAGGCCAGAGGGAACCTATCAGCACTCACATTACCATATCAGGAAAAGTTTTTTCACCTTCTAGACCCTAACCCACTTCCTATTTTGATCTGGGTATAAAAGCCCCGAATCACATCTGGCAGGTGCAACTTCCTTAGCCCTCCATCTATGCTAGACCAGTGAACCAGTGAACCCAGGAGCACTATAAATAAAGTTTGCTCATTTAGTGTGGATTTTCTTAATTTGGACTGGACTTAGACACTGCACAGAGCAAGAAGGTGCTAAGGGTCTCTAGCGTGGGGTTGGTGTAGCCCCACTCCTTCTAACACCAGAATCTCATACAGTGTCCATTTGACATCCTGGCTACTCAAAACTTCCCACTAATGTTCCTGGTAGGCAGTATATGATGGCCCAAGTGACTGGGTTCTTGCATCCCTAAGGGAGACTTGGATAGAGTTACTGGCTCCTGCCTTCATCCTGGCTCAGTCCCAATTGCTGTAGGTATCTGTGGAATGAATAAGTGAATGGAGGATCTTTGGTTCTCCCTCTCTGTTACTTGCCACTCAAAGGAATAAATTTTTTAAAAAAATTATTTTTTAAGAGTTTCTAATAGGAGAGCTTGGGATAATAAGAATTCCTACTAGTGGTTCTTGGTCCACTAGCCTCACAAAGCCATGGAAAACTAGTCTGAGTACCCAGAGCTGTTGCACAGCACAGACAGGCATGGAAAATTAGCATCAAGAAGAGTATGATGACATATTAAAAAATGTTTGCAAATGAATATTTAATGAAATCAGCAAAGTACAAAATAAGTGTCCCTTAATAAACAACTGTATAAAGACAGGCATACAAGGGAATAGAAAATTTTAAGTGATGTATTGGAGAGTTGGCCAAATGATTATTCTCATTTATTATTTCCTTTTGGAGGGGAGTGGTTACTGAGCTTTTTTTTAACAATTCATACTATGGTTCATTGAAAATTTTGCGAAAGCTTACAGAAATATAGGCAACTCGATCAGATAAAAATAAATAAACAAATAAGCAGGTAAAGTGATTTAGTCAGAAGAAAAATAAAAGCATGGAA